TGGAGTAACTCAACCAGTCTTCGCTTGACATCACTTTGCAGTGCGGCCCCTATTCTGACTTCCTTCTTATCTTCCTCAGTTCCTTGGTTGACGACTTCAACTTCCTCCTGATGAGGCAAGATGACCTTCTCCTCTTGTCTTAACAATCTGGCAAGTTCTTCGGGCAGGTCTTCGTCTTCTTCGATCTCTTCTTCCGCTTGAAAGATTGGATTGTCAAAGTCACACCGAGTCATAGATGAGTCCAAGTCGATGGTATCTGAAATGTGTAACCTGCAATGATGATGATTTTATGCTTAAATGATATGCAAACAAAGAAACACAAACCACATTGCCATTTTATTGTTAGAAAATAAAAACAAGAAAAACAAGGATCACAAAATTTTGAATGAAAAGACGCCTTTTTGATTGATAATGATGAAAGATTGTTCGCACACATAACAGATAGGGCCCTACAAATAAAGACCACTATGCTCCAGGCAGAGCATAGGGCAATACATTAATCAAAACAAAGCAATTACTCTTCATAGGTCACAGAGATAGCTTCTTCCACGGTCCAATTCTTCAAACCCTGGCCAGGGATACATGGCTTGATCCATGCATCCATGTCGCAGTCGTTGTCTCCTTCCTCGTCAAATACGACATTGATTCTCTCGAATATCACCCCATCACTGGTGAACTGAACAGGTCCTTTGTAACGCGAAACATTTTGTGAAGAAGACGCATATGGGTTGTATCACAATCCAAACTTATCTTGTTTGTTAGGGACGCTTACCACTTGCCCCCATCCTTGTACTAATCCAGATTCCACTACGGCTTGGGCTTCCTTGTATGACGACATGGCAACTTCTGGAGCTTTGACCTCGACCGGCGCCTTTTCCTTGATTTGGACAGTCTCAAAGGTCTGACACAATGTTTCATGAATTTCACCATCAACCTCCACATATTTGAATGAAGACAGATGGCTTACCATGATGTCTTCCTCTCCACAAACAGTCACAATATTTCCATCCACCATGTAGTTCAGTTTTTCACTAGTGGAAAAATACTTTCTTAGCAGAGGTTTTTAAGTCAGTTCATCAATTACCCGACTTAAGAAACCACACGGTGGCAAATTTGTAAATATTTGAAACTTTGTTATGTCGGGTCTACGTTTAACCGACCTACAAAGATTAAATAAAAAAAATATATTTTTCATTAAATTTCTTAAGTCGGTTCTTTTACTGAAATGACTTAAGAAATTTATTTATTAAGTCAGGTCTTTATTACCTGACCTAAGAAGGTCTTACAAGACTCCGGTTCGATTCTTACCTAATACATTCTAGTGAAATAAACATTATTTAATACTTAGTTAATTAATTTTAAATAAAATAATTTATGATAACCGTACAGTGACCTTTCTCTTTCTCTTTCTCTTTCTCTTTCTCTTTCTGCACGCAGCTTCTTCTTCTCTAATACCGCGAAAATTTTCACCACAACTTCTTGTTCTCTCAATCTTTCACCACAACTTCCGTTTTCAGATTTCAGATTTGACCATTCTCTTAATCTTTCACAAATCGCCACTGTCACCATACTCACTTTCTCCAGGTTCTCTCTTCTCTCTGCGTTTTGAAATGTTAGGTTTTGAATTTTCAATGAATACATTGTAAATAGTATTTCGTGTTTTCAAATTTGAAGCAGGGTTTAGGTGATACTAAATAGTTGGAGGTTTTGGTGATACTAGCAAAGGCTTTGAACTCTGCAGATTAGGTATGTTTTCATGATTATTCATGTATGGTGGTTCAGTTTCTTTGAATGTTTGATGGAGTATTGATGAAATGTTGTTGTTAAATTGAAGATGGAATTGATTTGAATTTTAGTTTGGGTAGGTTTTCTAACTGGGGTATAGTTTTTCCTCTATTCTGCTGCTTGAGTTTTGATAGTGTTAGCAAGACAAAACACACCATAATATGGTTTTTAGGAATCAAATCAGCAGCGGCCGCAACCTTACAGTTCAGGATTGAAATTCCTGTGTTTTGGTTAGGATATTCTCTGCCCTGAGCAGTGAATAGGTTCTTTTGGTTTGGATCGGGTTTGCGTGCGTATAGGTTGCCGTCTTGATAGTGTTAGCAAGACAAAGCACACCATAATATGGTTTTCAGGAATCAAATCCGCAGCGGCCGTAACCTTACAGTTCAGGATTGAAATTCCTGTGTTTTGGTTAGGATCTTCTCTTCCCTGAGCAGTGAATAGGTTCTTTTGGTTTGGATCGGGTTTGCGCGCGTATAGGTTGCCATTTTGAAAAACTACGACTGCGTTGCCAAAGATGAAGTCTACCGTGCCATAAACATCGCATTCACGGTAAAATTGGCGGAGGGAGTGGATCGGGTTTGCGTGCATATAGGTTTCCGTCTTGATAGTGTTAGCAAGACAAAGCACACCATAATATGGTTTTCAGGAATCAAATCCGCAGCGGCCGCAACCTTACAGTTCAGGATTGAAATTCCTGTGGTTTGGTTAGGATCTTCTCTGCCCTGAGCAGTGAATAGGTTCTTTTGGTTTGGATCGGGTTTGCGCGCGTATAGGTTGCCATTTTGAAAAACTACGACTGCGTTGCCAAAGATGAAGTCTACCGTGCCATAAACATCGCATTCGCGGTAAAATTGGCGGAGGGAGTGGACGTAGAGAGTGTCTTGGTATGCCACGCTACTATGCCTATTTCACCAAACTACAAAACCTGTCGAAAATAGGCAAAGGAACAAAATAATTGAGTATATGAATAAAATTATGCTGAATTTTATTGACTTAAAAAGCTAGTAACTGTCATACATTGGCATTTCAAAGAACCCTACAGATGTAACCACCAAAAGCAAAATTGTAGGATGGCCAAATATACAACAATAACAACAAAAGTAATTTAGTAATTATAAACTATGGTTATGCAAGAGTATTTGAATTGAATAGGCTATCTCTATCTAAATGGAACACAATCTCTTCAATTCAATTTTGTTATTCACAACTACTAGTCACTTCACTTCACTGATCCCTCTTTACATTAAACTGCTTCCGCTTGTATACCAGAAAATTCTCAGGCAAAACCTTCCCTGCCTGTGCTCCAGCCGCCTTCTTACTCACGCCAGAATTGTCCTTGTGCTTCAAGTCATCTTTTGAAGAATTTTCAACTGGAATTTCCTCCATTTCTTGGGTTGGAGGATCAGTGATCAGCTGAAGAAGTTCCATATACATAGATTGATTTCAACATATAAAACTGCTATGCTTTTTTTTGCATTTTCTAATTAGGCATTTGCAAAAGCAGCTTTTTGATTGCCTAACTTATTTTTGTGTGTCTCTACAACTTTCATAAGTAATGTATTAGTTTATCATAAGAGGAACAAAGGTATTACAACCAATAAGAACTAACAGAATAGTGGTTTTACAAAGTCCTCTATATGAAGTATCCTTCACCTACTAAACTATTGGATCTGCAGTCACTGAAAGTCTTCACAGTTGTGTATAATTCTGATGAGAGCGTCTTAGTTGCTAAGGAGAAATGCATTATTTTACAAGTTTCATTCTTTATTAGACACCTGTATAATCTTGGTCTTTGTTGATACAAAAATGGACAGGTCTCTTAATTTTTGACGGTTCCATAGTTGGTTGGTGGCTCAGTGATCACATAACTTGAAACAGAATACATTTTTTTTCATTTAATAATAGTATTCAAAATTCATGTTCTGTGATTCAATCTGTGAAAGGGCTTATCATTTGGATTTGGAATTCATTTCATGTTCTGCAGTGTATAAATGACTAATGTTACACCATGATTTCTCATTCTGCTATTGAAGTATACGAAGTCCACTTAAATTATCCCCTTAAGCTATTGAAGTATCCACTTAAATTACACCATGATAATCTTGGTCTTTGTTGATACAAAAATGGACAGGTCTCTTAATAATTTTGGACGGTTCAATAGTTGGTTGGTGGCTCAGTGACCACATAACTTGAAACAGAATACATTTTTTTCATTTAATAATAGTATTCAAAATTCATGTTCTGTGATTCAATCTGTGAAAGGGCTTATCATTTGGATTTGGAATTCATTTCATGTTTTGCAGTGTATAAATGACTAATGTTACACCATGATTTCTCATTCTGCTATTGAAGTATATGAAGTTCACTTAAATTATCCCCTTAAGCTATTGAAGTACCCACTTAAATTACACCATGATAATCTTGGTCTTTGTTGATACAAAAATGGACATATAATGGTGTAATGTTAATATTCTTGTAAAAAGATTAAAATATCTCTAAGTTTTCTTATTAAAAAAGAAATAGATGTTGCAATTACACTATTCTACTTGACAAATATAAAATAATAACACTTCTCTATATTTAAGATGCATTTAACTCTATTTGAGAATTTTAACAGAGAGGTAAAGAGGACTTTGAAGAGTCAAAAGTAGATAAAATATAATTATGTTTTATGAAAGAATGTTATAAAAAATAATAAATAAATATTTGTAATTATTATATTTTTAATATTTGAAGAATTATAACTATATAAATTAAATTTAACTAATTTATTAAAATTCTAAACCCCTTCAAAGTTCAATATGAATTTTAAAATTTTCCACGTCAAAAAGTTTTGAATTATAATAGTTATTGTTGAATTTAGTTTAAACAAAAAGTTGAGATACTTATTATTCTACACTTAGTTAAATTATCAACTATGGTAAATGAAAAAGATGCACATGATTTTTTCTTCATTTAGAACAGGGAATTAAGGAGATCCTTTGTCTTGCTAAAAGAGATATTTAGTAGAAAGTTATCTATATTGGTGGGATGGGATAAGTTGACATGCATATAAGGTGGTAAGACTAGTACTGTCCTTAAATCATATACTAGTACTGTCCTGTAACCATTAAACCAGTTTCTTACCACCATGACATAGCCCTGTCAGCAAACTCACTTATTTTTAGTTGTACCTTATTTCTTTTCATTTTTTTTCTTTTTCAGAAATAGTCATGGATCGTAGTTGGATGAAAGCTAATCGTTTAGGTGCAGAATACGATAAAGGAATGGAAGCATTTTTTCAATATGCTCGTGAAAAACTTCCTAATAATAATAAGTTTTATTGTCCATGTGTTAATTGTTTGAATAGAGAGCCGCCACTTTTAATAGATGAAATAAGAAATCATCTTGTTTGTGAGGGCATTTGCCAAAGTTATACCAATTGGATATGGCACGGTGAACCGTCAAACAATACGTCAAGTGTGTCGGAAAGAGAGGTAGTTGATGTAGATATGGACAATCGGCTAGAGGACATGATCAATGCTATTGGACCCGAGTCTTTTCAGCATGCTCATATGTACGATACTTTGTGCAGTGACAATGAAGAGCCATTGTATTCGGGATGCACTAACTTCACACGATTATATGCTGTGTTGAGATTGTTCAACTTGAAGGCAAGAAATGGATGGACGGATAAAAGTTTTACCGAACTACTTGAGTTGTTGTGTGAAATGCTTCCTGAAGGAAATAGATTGCCAAATCGTAATTACGAGGCAAAGAAGATATTGTGTCCGATGGGTATGGAGTACAAGAAAATACACGCATGTCCTAATGATTGCATATTATACCGAAATGAGTATGAAGAGTTGAAGGAGTGTCCCACATGTGGGCAATCACGTTTCAAAGTGAAAGATGGTGATTTGAATAGTGATGAAAACACAAAGCGTCTTCCTGCAAAGGTGTTGTGGTATCTTCCAATAATTCCAAGGTTCAAAAGATTATTCGCTAATTCAAAAGATGCAAAGAATATTATATGGCATGCGATTGAGAGAGAACGTGATGGACAACTTCGTCATCCAGCTGATTCTTTGCAATGGAAGAAAGTTGATGATTTGTATCCGGATTTCGGTAATGAGGCAAGAAACCTTAGGCTTGCACTTGTTACTGATGGAATGAATCCATATGGAAACTTAAGTAGTAATCATAGTTCATGGCCTGTTCTATTAATCATCTACAATTTGTCTCCTTCAATTTGTATGAAACGAAAATATATCATGTTATCCATGATGATTTCGGGCCCAAGGCAGCCAGGAAATGATATAGATGTTTATCTAAGTCCTTTGATTGAGGATTTGAGAATGCTCTGGGAGGAAGGTGTTGATGTGTTTGATGGCTATTCCCACGAGAATTTCAAGATGCGTGCAATGTTATTTTGCACTATCAATGATTTTCCCGCATATGGGAACTTGTGCGGTTATAGTGTTAAAGGACATAAGGCGTGTCCTATATGTGAAGATAACACATGCTTCCAACAATTAAAACATGGAAAGAAGACAGTGTACCTTGGGCATCAGAGATTTCTTAAACCTAATCACCTATATCGTAGGTTGAGAAAAGCGTTTAATGGAGACCAGGAGAATGGAATTGCTCCAAGAGCATTAACTGGAAAGGAGGTTTATGGACGGGTGAAGGATGTCAATGTTCTATTTGGAAAGAACCAAAAACAAACCACTCATACAAATATATGGAAGAAGAGGTTGGTGTTCTTTGATCTACCTTACTGGTGCAATTTAGATGTTAGACATTGTATTGATGTGATGCATGTGGAGAAAAATGTGTGTGATAGTGTAATCGGAACACTTCTCAACATTCATGGAAAAACAAAGGATAATGTAAATGCTCGTTTAGATATGGTTGAGATGGGTATACAACAACAATTAGCTCCACAATCAGCTGGTAAGCGGACATATTTGCCTCCAGCTTGTCATACTTTGTCAAAAAATGAGAAGATAAGCTTTTGTGAGTGTCTACGTAGCATAAAAGTGCCTCATGGTTACTCTTCAAATATAAAAAGTCTTGTCTCAATGAAAGATTTGAAATTGGTTGGCCTAAAGTCTCATGATTGTCACGTATTGATGCAACAACTACTACTAGTTGCTATTCGTGGCATATTGCCTAAAAAGGTTAGAGTTGTCTTAACTAGGCTTTGCTTATTCTTCAATGCTATTTGTAGCAAAGTCATTGATCCTAAAAAATTAGATGAGTTAGAAAATGAAGCAGCTGTTATCTTATGCCAACTAGAGATGTATTTTCCCCCTTCTTTTTTTGATATCATGGTGCACCTGATTATTCATCTAGTGAGGGAGATTAGATTGTGTGGTCCTGTTTATTTGAGGTGGATGTATCCAGTTGAGCGATACATGAAGATCTTAAAAGGGTATGTGAAGAATCAATATCGTCCTGAAGCATCTATTGTTGAGAGATACATTGCAGAAGAAGCTATTGAGTTTTGCTCCGAATACATGTCTGAAGCAGATGCTATAGGAATTCCTAAGTCTCGTCATGGTGGAAGATGTGGAGGTATTCGAGGTTTAAAACTTAAGAGCATAGCCCGAGCGGAAGTACTTCGAGCACAAATGTATATATTGAATAATACTGATGAAGTCCAACCTTACAGTTCTGCTCACAAAAACATTGTCAAGGAAACATTTCCTCGAATGAATGAAAAATGGGTGTTGAATGAGCATAACAAGACTTTTTTAAAGTGGTTTAAAAAAACCATTTTAGCTGATAATACATGTTCTGAGACATTGAAATGTCTAGCAAGGGCGCCTAAATTTGATGTCATAACTTGGACTGGCTATGATATAAATAATTTTACATTTTATACAAAGACCCAAGATGACACTAGTAGTGTGCAAAATAGTGGGGTTATGGTTGTAGCTGAGTTCATGCACTTCTCTAGTTCAAAAGATAAAAATCCTGTTATGGCATCAATAGCTTACTATGGGGTCATAGAAGAGATTTGGGATATCAATTTCATTACATTTAAAGTACCTCTATTTAAATGTAAATGGGTTGACACAAAAAATAGTGTTAAGACTGATGAATTTGGTTTTACATTGGTGGACCTTGAAAAGGTAGCCTATATGGATGAACCTTTTATTATGGCATCTCAAGCAAAACAAGTGTTTTATGTTAGGGACCCTTCTAACAAAAAATGGTCAGTGGTTCTCCAAGGTAAAAGCAACCACAACCCTAATGATAGTGAGCATGCAACACTATATATTTATGAGACTCCTTCTTTTTCTCAACGGGTTCCAACTTTAGTTGAAGATACTATTGGTGATGAGGTGTATGCCACTCGTGAAGATCATCAAGAAGGGATATGGGAAAATATTCAAACAATACACAATTAGTTAAGAAACGGTGAATTTTTATCTAAATATGTAGATTTTAAGGTTTTTTTTTATTGTCTCATGTACAATATTTTTGTCATATAATTTCATATTATTGAGCTTGAATTATTATGTTTTTTTTCTCTAAACAGACACATGGGTGATGCATCAACTCCTTCGCAAAGTGGGTTGAATACTCTATCAACTAAAACAAAAGGAAGAGGTTACACCAGGATGAAAAAGTTGCAACTTTTGACTGCACGGGATGAGAGAATACCAATTGATTTCAATTCAGATGGACATCCTATAGGGGAACTTGCAAAAGATTTCAAGTATCATGTTGCTTGTCTCGCTCGAGAGAAAATCAGTATTCTGATTGATGAATGGGATAAGGTTGGTAGTGAAGACAAGAAAGAAATTTGGAAAGGACTTGAGGTAATTTTAATTGTATTTGTCACAATTACACATAAATTTAATATTTTGATATGTACTAACTCTTTTATTTGTTGTGTAACATAGCAAATATGGGACATTTCTAAAAATGATGTTGTTGATAAGAAAACGATGGTATATGCGGGTGAGCGTTGGAGGTCCTTTAAAAACAGCTTAACAAGTAGATATTTAAATAATGGAATTAAGAGTGGAGTGTCTCCCACTGATGATTACCCTTATATTGATGAAGAAACGTGGAAGGATTTTGTTAAATCGCGAGAGGACCCTTCCTTTCAGGTTAGTTGGCTTTATTATTTAGTTAATGAATCAACTTATTTTTAGTACAACTTAATGAATCAACGTGCAATATAATAGAAGAAAAGAAAGAAGGGACAAGAGACTCAGTCTTATAATAAATATCCCCATAGGTTGTCCCAAGGGGGATATGCTTTGCTTGAGAAAAATATGATGGCAGATAAGTTAAAAGAAAGACAAGCAGCAGCTGGAAGTTCAGAGGTTCCACCTCCATCTCCACCAGAACGACATGAGAAGTGGAAGAGAGTCCGACTAAAACCATCAGGAGAGTATACATCAGAAGACACACGTCTTGTTGCAGAAAAAATTGTAAGTAATGTTACATATGCATATTTACTTTTACAACTCTGCCATGGTGACAAAACATCATTTTGAAAAACAATACATGTCACTGTCAATATTGACACTCCCAAATTAGATCACCAATATCAAAGAATTCTGTTGTAACATTACATGTTAAAGATATCAAGCCAACACATAAGAGTGCAATGTTGAAAAAGCATTTACTTTAATATATTGGTGACAAAAAACGAAAAAATTTAGTTTTTGATATGACTAACATTTGATATATTATCTGAACCGGAATCCAAGTCATGTTCTTGCAGTGTGAAATTTATGGAATGGTTAGTAGTTTATTGTGGAATGATGTTATTGAGTCAGGAGATGGTAACGAACTTGTTCATCCGAAGTAGTTTGAGGTGGTGTAATATGGTATATATGTAACTCATAAGTTGTTGCTTAAAATTGCTATAAAAGGTTAACTCACACACACGTCTAACAAATGAGTTGGTTTTAGACCTACAATAACGTTTTGAAAGTTTAGTATTAATAAAATGAGAAGTTGAATGTGTGAGCAGGAAACAATATCAATGATAATTCCTACCTCGAGAAGCATCTGATACCAAACAGTGGCAATCGGAGACCATTTTGCATGTGTTTTGCCAATGCCTTTAACTGCATGAGCTTCAAGTTCAATTTCCTAGAAAAACATGTGTGTAACGACTATTATGTTCACTAATACTACTAGCTAGTAAGTACAATAATAATTACATGATTAAAAAATCAAGTATAACTCATATTGAGGTTGTCAAATTCATTAGACCATGTAAATTCATGGAATTTCCATAAGCCCAACTTGTAAATCCGTCAGAGTACTTAACACAAATGATGTTTGAACATTTAACATGTATAAACACATTGTGTGCATAGTAAATTTTCTGTTCAACAGAGTTATGGCTTAGTTCCTGGTATTAGTTTCTTCATCACCAAAGTAGACAACGCAGGGTGGTCATAGGTTAGAAAGGAAAGAGGGAGTTGGAGGTGGTCATAGGATGTTCTATTCTGTTCTGTTCTGATAATAGTGGAACAGAAATTTCTGTTCTGTTCTGATAACAGTGGAACAGAAATTGTTGTAGGATAAAGCAATTAATGCCTTTTGATTTCTGTTCTGATAAAGCAATTAATGCATTTTTCTTTTTCTTTTGATTTCTGTTATGTTATATTTTTTGAACTCTCTTTTTAACTCTCTATTTGCTAACTTGAATTGATGATATTTGTAGGATACTCTGGTGTCAGAAGGGAACTTTATCCCACAAGGACGACAAGATATTTTGACAGAAGCCACAGGGCGAGGTGAGCACCCTGGTCGTGTTCGTGCTGTTGGTCGAGGTGTGGGGATTCGACAATTCTTTGGATCCCATTCTCGTAAACATTTTAGTACCCCGCCTATTTTGAATAATGACCAAATAGAGACCATAAAGGCCGAGCTTACGAAGGAGATTAGAGAGCAAGTGATGCGGGATATATCATCTTTGCCAGCTTTTTCTCAAAAATACCCAAATGACCCTGTTTGTTCTCCTAATACCAATTTACAATATGCAAGCACAAATGGTAGTTGTTCAAGGGTGTCGCATATGCCAAATGATGATCAAGAGGATATTCCTGAAGAATGTGAGTTGTATGTTGATGGAAACACTCATTTAGTGGCATATGCTGATGTGTATAAGTTGGGGCCTAATATACACAATCAGGTGCTGAATAATGATATGGTGAGAGTGGTTGTTACCAAGGTGATAAATGAAAATGCTAAAGTACCAGTGCCCACAGATGAGGTTACAATGGTTGGTGAGGCCTCCAATACTTTCATTCAATGGCCAAAAAGACTTTTGCAACTTACTTCTAATAAGGTATTCATTATATTTATTATTTTCGTTTTACACAATTGAGACCTTTTTAACATGTTGTCTAATATTTTATTATATTTCACAGGTTCGGTCTAAGAAATATGATGTTCCACCAAAAAAGTCAGAACCTATCTGTCAAAAGTTGGTAGTAAAGGCAATGTATATAGATCAAACTTTGAAGTTTAACGGTGAATTCGGTGGGACATATACCTCTATTGAGCTCCTAAGGGAAGATATTGTAGACTTGTGTATGGGTACAAAAGAATTAGGCATCACTATCTTACAAGTGTGGCTCATGTAAGTATATTTTATTTGTAAAATTAATAATTTATCATTTACTTAATTTCATTTATAATGCAAATAACTCTCAATATGTTATAGATATCTATACCGCCTCTGTATGGGATTGGGCAACAATAATGTTTATGGATTTATTGATCCGGGTTTTACTCATAGTCAAAATGAGCGTGGTAGTGTTCAGTACTACATACAACAGAAGATGTGTGATGATACAAAAGAATGTTACCTTACTCCTTATTTTAACAAGTAAGAATTTTCTCTTGTTATAGTCAAAACGACTGTATGTCAATCACTTATAGTCAATCACTTATTGTATTTTGTTCTTGTAGTCATCATTGGCAGTTGTTCATCATTAATCCTAAGAAGTTTGAAGTAGCCTTTCTATGTTCTTTGGGAAAGAAGCCAGATAAAAAAATTTATGACGTTATTGAATTGTAAGTCTATACTACATTTGTCAGTTCATTCAACTTGTAAGTAAATAGTATAAAAGTGAAGTAGTAATATTATTATAGTATGATTTTTAGTTTCTTGTTTCTGTTGCAAATTTATCAAATGATTTATGGTTCTAAAACAAATGTAAGTATCTTATTTATTTTGTTAATTATAAATAATTGCAGAGCTTTGGGAGCTTATAATAAGTTACAACGTGTGAGAAAACAGAAGAAGGTAGAATGGTTTTATCCCACTGTAAGTAATTGTTTACTTTACATATAAATGAATAATTTCATATATATATATATATATATATATATATATATATATATATATATATATATATATATATATATATATATATATATATATATATATATATATATATATATATATATATATATATATATATATATATATATATATATATATATATATATATATATATATATATATATATATATATATATATATATATATATATATATATATATTCTATAACAATTTTTGAGTAATATCTATTGACTAGACGTTCACATTTGATAATAAATTTTAGAGTCAAAAGCAACAAGTTAGTTATGAGTGCGGCTATTACATTATGGCTCACATGTTGAACATTATATCTGCTACTGTTGTTGGTTCATGGACACATGTAAGTAATATAATATTTTTATCAAGTTGTATCAATTAATTAAAAAAAATTATGTTGATATATTAATTTAATTTTATGTCAATGTTTATTTATTTAGATATTTCAGGATTCAAATCCATTACAAAAAGAAGAAGTTAAAAATGTTCAAGAACTTTGTGCAAACATGATATTGGAACATATTGAAGAAAGTACAGACAATGATATAAATTAGGTGCAATTCTGTGTTGGATTTTGGTTGTTGGCTGTTCAGAAGATGATATGATTTTTTAATAGGCCAATATTTAAGGTTTCTTATTTTGATGATGTTTTGATAAGTACGTACTTGGTGCTTTAGAATTAACATGCACCTGTTTGTTTATGTATTAGTATTATTAATATACGTAATTGTGTTTATAAGTTGTTGGTATATTTTATTTGATAATGAGGAGTTTTACTGTGATTTGTGTTGTGTGTTTTTTTTTGTGTAATTTTTTGATTGAGTTGGATAGTCAGATTTGGGGGTAAATTATTAAATGGAAAAACTGCATTTGATGGGGTAAATTATTAACTGGAAAAACTGCATTTGATGGGGTAAATTATTAACTGGAAAAACTGCATTTGATTTGTGTAATTATCCAAAAAAAAAAAAAATTCTTAGGTCGGTTCAGTTATACCCGATTTAAGAAAGTAAGTTCTTAGGTCGGGTATAAATGGTTTCTGCAGGCTAG